ACGAGTACGATTGCAAAGAAACGAGAGAGAGACATCCCAAAACATTTCTATAAGGATAATTCATCATTTCAGTCGTTTCTTCTTGTGTACTGGGACTTTGAGACTTTGAGTATTTCACACCTTTAACTATTGGAAGGGAAGTAATTTGTATTTTAAAAGACTTGAAATCGATCAACTATGTCTTCTATATATAATTGCTGATGAATTAAAACACTATTGTTCTCATATTCAAATTCCACACCCAAAAGCTTTCTTGTTTTACCTAAAATTTTCAAATCAAAATGTGAACTTCAGGACTTTTAATATTCTTTTGGCCTGAACTTCACTTTTCCCAAACACAACTATATCATCAACATAAATCAACAGAAAAACAAAATCTTTAAAATGATAGACACAATTACACCATTCAAACTTGAAAAACCCTAGGTTACATAGTGTTCTATCCAACTCGTAGTACCATAATCGCCCACTCTGATGCAAACCATACAAGGCTCTATCTAAACGACACACAAAAGTTTCTTTATCTCGCTCTACAAAAAACCCTGAGGTTGGGACATGTAAATTTCCTCTGATAAAAAAGCGTAGAGATAGGCACTTTTTACGTCGCATTGTATATTTGCCCATCCAAGATGTGCAACTAAAAGGGAGAAAAAGAGCCTTATTACTGAAAAGTTGACTACAGGAGAGTAGGTTTCATCATAGGTATCGTATTTAATTTGCCGATAACCCTGAGCCACTAAACGAGCTTTAAAACGAACAATGTTTCCAAATTCGTCACGTTTAATGTTGAAAATCCACCTGCAACCTAGTGGAGTCTTGTCTTTAGGAAGTGGAACAAGATGCCATACCTTATGCTTTCGCATGTTGGCCATTTCCTCTTCCATTGCCTCTATCCATTTAAGCTTTTCTGTGGATTTCATTGCCTGGTTATAAGTGTTTGGAATTGAAACCTCTAGTCAGCTATCTCGGGTATATGACGTTGAAGGAGTGCCAGTTGGGTCGAGTTGGGTCGATTTCACCACTATAAGTATTGCTTCCCTTGAAATCAAACAAGGTAGGATCATACTGAATATTATGTTCAGTGCAATACCTTTCTACATCATTTGGTGATCGTAGTCTTTGATTAGACCCCCTCTCAAAATAATACACATCCGTACGAGTGCCGTCTGGCCTTGGAACAGGTTTACGAAGCCAAGTTACTTGTCTCAATGTAGATTGAGTGTCAGTGCCAATTGTAGAAGAAGGTACATTGGTATCGGTTCTTTCCTCTATTTCAGGAAAATAGCCAACTGGAGTATCAGTAGATTGGAACTCTACCCTTTCTTCAGATTCCAAATCAGGAAGGGTGCCCAGTGCAGCTCCACTGCCACTTTTCTGCATTCCAATTGACTCTTTAAAAGTAGCATTTAGGGTTTCTACTACCTTTTGCTCATTTTCCAACCAAATCTTGTACCCTTTTGTTCGTACACTGTACCCAATCAATCGGCCCTTCGTTGCCTTTGGATCAAGCTTAGAATTTCTTTTAGCCTTTGGAATTCCCACATAGGCAATCGTTCCAAATGCCTTAAGGTGACGTACTGATGGTTTCCGCTTAGTGTACAATTCGAATGGGGTTCTATCTTGGCCCTTATGACAAATTCTATTAAATGAATATGCAAAATACATTACTGCATCTGACCAAAATTCGGAACTCATTCCACTATCATGTAAGATTGCACGTACATTGTTGAGAGCTGTCTGATTAAATCTCTCACAAACTCCATTCTGTTCTGGAGTATATACATCTGTAAATTCGTGCTTTACACCATTTTTATTACAATATGACCTGAATTGATCATTATCATATTCTCGCCCATTGTCAGTCCTAAAGTATTTCAAAGATCTTTCCGCACGTGCTATATGCCTTTCAAATACTTCAAACACCTGACTTTTCTCCACAATGGGGTACACTACCACATAACGAGAATATTCGTCAATAAAGGAAACGAAATAACGTTCACTATTCCTACCTGGAATGTTAATAGGTCCCCATACATCAGAAAAAAACCCTTTCAAGCGGCCTCTTTACTTGAATACCTTCTAAGGGTCTATAGGAGATTCGTCTTTGCTTATTGATTTGGCAATGTTCACAAAACAAATTAGGTGAGTGCTTTAACACAGGAAGACCTCGAACTGAATGTCTCTTACTAGTCCTGACAATAGCACCATAATTTATATGACCAAACCGACCATGCCATAATTCACTATTGTTATGCTGAACTGTGGATGCCTCAAATTTTACAGATTTGCCCCCCTTTTTCACTATTTTCGGGAATACATGATAGTTACTTCCTATCAACTTAGCCTTGTACAAAGTTTCATTTTCATCATCAGTAACTTTAATTTGCCCATTTTTACCATAAAATCTTGCTCCATTGATATCCACCCTAGGTCCAGATATTAAATTTCGTCTCAGTTCAGGTGAGTATAAACACATCTTTAAGCAAAATAATTCCGTATCCCCAAATTTCATTTTAACAGTACCCTTCCCATGAATTGGAAAAGTTACCCCATCAATAGCTACTAGCATATTCTCATTCTTCACAAGAGAAAAGGTATCGTACAATTCACGATTTTTACAAAAATGATGAGATGCAGTAGTATCAAAAATCCAACTATCATCATTTTCCTCCAAATTGTTAACATTAGCTTGAGCTATAAAATGGGACTGAGCATGGGAATTATTTTTACCTTTACTCAACTTGGGTTTATTCTTACACTTAGAAGATGTTTTATTACTACTAGATACAGCTGAGGAAACAGAAGAAGCAGGTGAGGGTGATCTGGAAAAATTACCTTTCATTCTACAGTATTTTTGAATATGACCTGGACGGCCACATTTATAACACTTGAGCCCTTTAATCTGCTTAAATTTGGGTTCACAGTGAGTACTTTGAACTTCTATAGTCTTATTGGAATTTTCCCTATCTATCTCTCTTAAATTAAGACGCGTTTCCTCTGCTAGTATTTCAAGTTCAACATTTTTAAATATGAACTTTTCATCTGGCCACCTCAAAACATTCTGAACTACTTGATCAAATTTATCTGGAAGGAACCTAAGAAAAACTGAAAACATATATATACATCTCTTACAGCCTGATTAATATCAGCTAATTGTTCAGTTACGCGTTTTAATCTAGAAGAAAAGAAACTAATACTTTCATTTGGCTTAATTTTACAATTTAAGAACTCTGAAAACAAGGGACATATGTCTTGATCCGATAATCTGGCTGGAAAGTATTTGGCAAGCGTATTCCATGCCACTACCGGGTCATCAATTTCACATATCAAGTTTCTATATTCAGGGCTTACATTCATATAAATTAAAGATAATGCCAATCGACTTCTATTTTGATAGTCGGCAATAATTTCTTTTGTAATACCCTTAACATCATTTAAATCAGGACATTTTTCAATACCTTTGAACCAAAAGCCATGCATTTTTCTTCATTTAAGACAAACTTCATATCTTTGGACCATGTAAAAATTACATGCATCAAGTTTAGCAATATTATGCATGACATTAACAGTAGCCATATTTGAATTTCAACAAAAACCGCCCCCCAATCTCTTAAGTCCTAAATTAACTTTAAACTTCAAAAGTCTGCACTAAAAATAACTCAGGGGCTGGGCCCATAACCAAAATGATGCTAAAGCAAAGTTTAAAGTTTAAAAATTAAACATTTAGCAGTAGTAGCAATAAAGCTCCCTGAGATTATGTTGTGCAGACATTGAAGACAATAAAAGTTTTAAACTTAACCAATTTATTAACAATATATAAAAAAAAACACAATGAATAAATTTAAACAAATATCAGAAAACTTAAATAAACATAATCATTATCAAAAATTACATTATATAATCCATTAACCCCATTTTCAAACACTATTAAAGAATATTTTACCTGGTCTCCAAAATACTGGCATTCAATACGCGAAAAACATATCCTAAACAGAAATTATGCGGTTTTAAATGAAATTAGCTACACTATCAATAAGTCCATGCTTCAATGGTCAAGAAGGCACCTGGAAAATTGAACTAAATCCTCCTTGAGAGCACTTAAAACGGCACTCACTGTAGTTACACACGAGAAATCACAACTTAGAAAAACATCGCCGCTAACTTGTGTTAAATGCCGCCTTCATGAAGAACATGGATGCCGCCCACGGCAGTCACTCACATGTTGCCGCTTTTGGACCCAAAAAAAAGTCATCTTGTAGGCTGGAACCACAACACTTAGTCACTGGACTGCACGCACCGCAACATCGTCTTCCAATGGGGGCTGGAAACGGCACACCCAAGGAGCCAAGAAAGCAGGAACTAGAAGGAATGAGCCAGAGCGACGCGAGATACTTATACCAGAAGTAGGCATGACGTCATCTCACGGCAACCAATCAGCTATCGGCACGACTCGGCTTTCCAGATGACGTAACATCAAGTTTCGTTTTTGCATCTTAATTAGGCTGAAACAGTCCGTTCTCAATACAAACAGTGGCAGTGAAAAAAAAGTAGAAGTAACTACTATCCCTTTAAAATAAGAACTAAACCTTATGTAAAAGTTATAATTATTTCAAGGAGGAGAGATGATGCAGAAAAAGGGTTACAATAGGTCATATTTTCCAACACGCACGCGTCAACGCGATGCATGCGCAGAAAGTTTGTAGCTTTGAGGTCCGGATTATAGATCATTCCGGATTATGGGTGTCCGAATTAACGACTTTTGACTGTAATAAATTAATTACAAAAAACTTTGCTTGAGAATTTCTGTTTTTATCAAATTTTCTTTAATTGATTTAAACTGAATTCTAAAATTATAGTAAGCAAATATTAGCATACCCCCCCCCCCAAAAAAAAAAAAAAAAAAAAAAAAAAAAGAAGAAGAAGAAGAAGAAGAATTAAGTTACATGATACATCGATTTTAATGATAATTTTTAAATCTATTTTTTTTTAAATGCAGCCTATATAACTACACGAAAATCTTTTTATTTTACAACTTTCTTTTTACAGTTCATGCATAATACCTGAAAAACAAACAAAGCTAACCCATATGTTGTCAGCATTGACTTCAGTGTTTCAGCATCGCTCGCATAACAGGACCTAGACTTTGAATGTGGATAAATGACATCTGTGGCTAACACAGCACCTGAAACATATACATCTGCAATTAATATACATAAAAAAATTAGAATGAAACATGAAATTCTCTTAAATTAAAATCTCATACAGTATTGCATAAGTTTATAGCAATCTCATGTTTAAATGTGTGTATGTGATTATGGCAAACCTCTAGAGCCTGACTAAGATAGAGGTATGTCTTTGTGGGGGACTTTCTAAGGGAAACTGGCTTGTATACATGTTTCCCATGGGAAAAACCATGAAGACGGCAGTGCAGCCATCCTGTTCGTGGAATTTAAACCTTGGACCAAACTACCAGTGTTCAGTGACTTTGCCCTTCGGCCACTGGTGGTCTCCTTATGTTAAATTTAGCCTAAACACTAAAAGGCAAAACAAGTGACTAGTTACCCTGAATTTCACGAGACAGTCCTGCATTTTAATGTACTGTTCCACTTCAAGATATGTGCTGAAAAATATCTCATTTTCTGTCAATATTTCCAGGTACTTGTGAATATAGTTGACATACAACTAGATAGTCCTGTTTGCTGTTGTACATAGTCACGGCGATGTTTTGTGTCACAAGAGAAATATTCAATACTCAAACAGAGTTTAACTCCCAGTTATTGGGAGCAGATTAACTGGCACCTGTCCTAAAAAAAGTTAAACTTATTCTTTGCAGAATTATTGAAAAGTTACTATCACAAATAATCAGCAGAAAACAAAACTGACTATGAAAAATGCAAAAAGGAATAGAAAAACACATGGATTAATAACACTGACATCAGATGATGCCATAGTAATTGGGAGTTGTTTTTATCCATAACAGTACATAATTCAATTGTACATAATCAGGAATATTTAAACATTGTTGGACCATCCATTAAAAATAAATTGCTCAACATTAAGGAATATATACAGACATTACTCTTCTGTTTCACAATGACTCTTATCAATATACACAAATAAAAAACTAAAACTCAGTGGCACAACAGCCCTAGTGGCCCACGGCCTGCAGTGCCCCGAAATCTGCTTTCTTGACCTTGGGCCCTGGGATGCACCAGCATATGACTAGGCAGGTCATTACCTTGTCGGAGGACCGCTGGTGTTTAGTCCCCAAGTGAACTTGGTACTCATTGACCCACTAAGGGATGAAAGGCTCAGTCAACCTTGCCCAGCCCGGGGATCGAACTCCGGACCTGTGGTGCAGCTGTGCGACTGGGCACTTCACCACTGGGCAGTCAAAAAATACATGAATAATGTAATTGTAATAAATTGAGAAAAGACAGGAAGAATTAGAAATATAAACAGAGACAGAGAAAGAAAGTACACAAATGTGATAAAGAACTTTGAAAACCAGTTTAATTTATGTAACCATATTTATTCTCCAGAATAAACTACTTGAAAATACAGGTAAATTATTAACAGTAATTCCTGTTACTTTCAATATCAGTTTTTCCTCTTTCTTCATGTTGACTGCTTTTGGATTAATCACAATTTTGAGTTCACCATAGCTGCAGTACTACCACAGTTAATTGCGAACTGACAATAATCATGCTTTCTAGATAAACATTTTAGAGAATTTGTGAAGCCTACAGAAAATGATGGTTTATGAAAGAATTTTTGGGTTTTTATATCAGCTATGGTTTGCACTTAGAAAATGGACAGTGAAATTAAATCATCTCTAAAATTTTAAATGGACCACCTTTTGATAATACTGTAGAATGTGACGGAAAGCTTAACTTCCACAACAGAATACTTTGATGATAAATAAATATCTCATAAATTATTTAATGAAATATTACATTATTTTGAATATTTTACATAAAAATGTAAAATATTCAAAAATATTAAACTGTTATATTAGTCATTCAGATATAAAACTGAAACTGGACAAACTGACTGAGATTTTTTCTGTGATTAGGGGAACAACTTACAGAGAACTGAAGCAATACAGAGTATATCTTGATAAAAAAAAAAAAAAAAAAAAAAAAAAAAAAAAAAAAAACACCGAAGAGACCTCTAGTGAGAATCATCTTTAAAAATGGTAAAAAGTCAAATAAATACTAGTACTGAACATCATCAACAGTCACATTCTCTATGGTAACATACCACCTGCAGAGAAGATGGAAATTGTTTGGAATCATAGGATCTGTTTGGATTGTTTCACTCAAACATGTAAAGCATTGAAAAAATTAAGCATGTTAATTGTTTAAAATAAGAAAATTGTGCTGGAAATAAAGCTTTTTTTACAATGGTCAATATTGTTTCACTCTGCAATGCCTTTGGAAAAACATAATAAATTTATACGGAATAATTTTTTTTTTTTTTTTTTTTTAAGGTAGGCATTAGCCACTTCAGGCTTTCACCACTGCTTAGAAATGGTGGTCATTTTATTATGGGGGACATAATGGGTGGCCTCTGTACCTCCTCTGAAGAGACAGACTATTTACATCTGTGCCTTCTCCAGGATTCGAACCTGGGTCCTTCGGTATGGCAGTCAAGAGTCACTAAACACTTTCATGTCTGGGCGACATTTAATCTCATTGACATAATTATTTTTAGGTTAGAACATAGCAGCTTTTTACATTTTAACCATCCTTTTAATATTCATCATAAAATTTAGTTTATGACTGAAAAATTAATTTTACAAAAATAACTGAGTAGCAGAATACCCCATACTTCATTTTTTCCTTTAGTTTTTCTACCATACATTTATTTCAGTTTCTACTTTAAACTTTAAAAAAGAAATATATTTTTATATCTGACTATTACAGAGTAAAAGTTGTTTCAGATTACATTCATTGTTATACTATCAATTTTGAGACAAAGGTCATCTAATTATACAAGGTGAGACCGAAAAGTAAGGTGACTGATGTCATAATAAAAACTGCAGAACTTAAATTGCTCTGGAGCTGAGTGGAGCACGGCTCTGGTACTTCTCAGTTTTTGAAATAAATCATAATTTTTGACGGAGCCCACCAGAGCTCTAAATAAAAGAGCTCTGGCACTTCTTTTACATAAGTTAACCACAATTTCAGCAAACAAATTTTATTTTAATACTAAATATTCATTAAAAATCAATTTCGACTTCTGAATGCAGGTCTGTTTTTCCCTCAGAAACAAACCTTCCCTCGGACAGATGTTGAGACTTTTAAGGAAAGAAATCCACATGCTAAAGGCTTATATTCTAGAAAATGTAATGAATGTATGAGAGAAGGTTAATTTTTCGTTCCTGAAATGGCTAAAAGGCATCGCTCTGGTAGTGCATGTGCCACACTAGAAACTTCCTACTGCACAGGTCCTGTACGATATAACCAAATGCCTGGGACCACTTTTGGCTCATATATAGAGGAGTGTCACATTTATTCTCACGCAGTTATCGAATTGTATTCAGGGAAAATTTCTGCTTGACGGCTAGAATTATATTGACAGGGCATCGCGATCAGAAATTCTTGGACTTTTCCCTCTTTATTTTCAAAGCTACACTTTTCCGTTAAAACTTCCTTCTATATCCTGATACTTTCTAGAATTCTCAGTATTCTCCTTTGTGACAATTTAATCGTTTTATCATATTTCATTGGTGTTTCATTCACCATTTTGAATGATTTTTATATCTATCATCCCTTGAAATATTATATATTATATGTATAATCAGGGCTTAAATTCAAACAAACATTGGCTGAGATATTTCTTGGCTTCCGAGTGGAATTTTAATTTCAATCAGAGCCAAAAATAAGATGAGGTCCAATAGTTTATATTTTATTTATCTATTTATAATTAATTCAATAATTTATTAAATTTCTATTTAGCTCTTTACATTTATTTTGTTTTAATTTATAACTAAATATTTTAATTTTTATTTTTTATTTATTTATTGTTTCTTCTTCCCCAGTTTCTATGGCTCCGCACTCAATTAGAAATTAAGCCCTGAATATTTATTTTACATATAAATACATCACTGTCCTTCAAAGTAGTTTCCGCCGTCTACAATACACTTCTGAAAACGTTCATACAAGTTCTGGAAACTTTTGAAAAGATCCTTAGTCCTTTGAGACTGTGTTAAGTTCCTTGGTAACAGCAGCTTGAATGTTTGAGATGCTTGAAAATCAGTGTCCCTTTTAGTGCGAATTTCAGTCGTGGAAAGGGGAAACAAGTCTGCTGGCACAAGATCAGCGGAATAAGGAGGGTGAAATAACTCCATAACCTTTTGCTGCACGAGGAAGCATCTAACACACATAGCAGTATGAGGGCATGCATTATCATGCAACAGAAACCACTTTCCTGATGCAACGAGATGGGGCCGAACACGATGAACGCGAGCCAGGAAGCACTTCACAACATGGCAATAAAATTCACCATTACATGTTGGACCTTCTGGTATGTATTCTTTATGAAAAATTCCTTGTGCCTCAAAAAAGGTCATCAACATTGTCTTAACCTTTGATTTTTCGAAATGAAACTTTCTCAATTTTGGCAATGAGGGACTGCACCACTCCATGCTTTGATGTTTCGTTTGTGGATTATACTGAAACACCACATTTCATCTCCTGTGACGATTGACTGTAAAAACATGTCATCTTTATCTGCTGCATTGATGAAGTGGTCACAGGAGTCCAATCGCTGCTGTTTTTTTTTTCATCGCTTAAGTAATGAAGGACAAGCGTTGCACAAAGTTTCCATTTACCCTAATTCTGCATCAATATTATTCGGATGATTTCATCAGGAAGATTCAATTTGTTCGTCATTATTCGGACGGGCAAACGCCGATCCTTCAGCAATAACTTCCTAACTCTTTCAACATTTGCCGTCGTTCTGCTCATCAATGGTCTTCTACTGTGATGCTCATCCCCCATGCCTTCATGACTGTCACGGAAAAGTTTGAACCACTGAAATACTGTCTTGCGAGATAAAGTTTCTTCACCATACACACTTCGAAGCATTTCCAAGGTTTCTGTAGCAGCTTTACAACAGAATTTCAGGTTTGTTTTCTGCTCCATTACGCAATGCACTAACCCCTTTCACGTTAAGCGACTGTACGAACAAACACGATACAAGAAACTTTGCAAATGACCCTGAACTTCAACATTACATAATGAAGATCGTAATGTGCATGTGTCAGGATGTTGGGCTGTTCTTATTTTTGAAAGGAGGGGTGATTCACCTTACTTTTTGGTCTCACTTTGTATTTATATACAATCAATCATATACAAATTAATAAGAACTGCTTGCAAATTTTAAAATACCTCATATTTCAAACAAATTAAAATATATTAGTAAAAATATTGGAAACATCATATAAATGTGTAACTCTATTAATTGATTTGTCACACAAAAATTAATAAAATAATAATACAAATAACAAAGTTATGTATGCAAATATGACATAAGAGTTTAACTAATAATTTCTACAGATTAAAAAAGGGGGCTGGCTGATTATAAATCTTATCGAAAAAAATAGTGAGTGCTTGGCACTGGCAAAATTTCTGTGTATAAAAAATATCAGTATATATATATATATAATATTTTAAGGTGCTCTTTGATACCTTATTAAAATTCTTTTCCTAGAACTCAACTAGTAAATTTCTAGTTTCAGCAAATAAAAAAGAGACAGAGAAAAAACGAAAAAGCAAAAATAAATAAATAAATAAGGAGGGTAAAATTTTTTAAGAATTTGAAATCAAAAATTAAAGTATGAAGTTTAAAAACATTTTAATTGCAATTTTAAAGAAGAAAGCAAATCCAATATAGCAACTAAAATGGGAAAACATCTGATTTAGCAAACACATGCTATATATTTTTGTAATCTTAAGTATCGTTTTTATTTTATCTATTTAATTATTTGTTGCATTTAATGCAGTAATTTTGTTGTGTATTTTTGCCTAAGTTTATAATTACTTATTTTCTTTGTATGTGTTTATTTCATGCATTATGTTAAAAATCTTGTAATTCTAACTTGATCACTGTTCTAATTGGAAGGAGAATTAGAGCTAATTAGAATACTAAACTTTGGTGAAAATTTTTGTTTTAAAGTTGGTTACAATTGTGATTTCTCACTAACTTGGCTTCGAAAATGGTTTAAAAAAAAAAAAAAAATCATTCAAAGTTCTAGGGGTGACTTTTTAAGTGCCTGGACAATTATATATATATATATATATCAGCTCTCAGCTATCCAATTCAGAGTTATGGAAATGTATCAAGCTCTTAGTTAGCAGGTACTGCTTTAGACTGCTGTTAATTACTGCTCGGTAAGTAATATCAGTGATATGCGATATTCCTCACATGTTAAGGATCTCCCCTCTTTGAGCTACTTGTAGCTATTTAATTTTCTGTACAAGCTATTATTTCTTTCAATAAAGTGTTCATTTGTTACTGTTCATCTAACATAGTTATTAAGCTGGTCTCTACAACCCATAATGTGCAGCAATATAAAGAAATAAATAACCTTTTGAAGAAACAGCAGCAATCTTGCAACCATGAGTAAAGCCAGGATCAACTCCAACTACTGTTTTCCCTCTAACTGGGGGTGTTAAGAGCAGGCTCTTTAAATTTGAGCAAAATACGGCTATAGATTCCTTCTCTGCATGTTTACTCAAGTCGGATCTGCAAAATAAAAGAAAATTTCAAAACAATGAACTCAAATTATAAACTTAACACACTAGAGTGGAATTTATGTGATTATTTCTGAAATTTTCAAGCAAAGGACAATTTCAAAACAACAAACTCAAATCATAAACTTACACACTGAGTACAATTTATGCTCATATGATTACTTCCAGAATTTTCAAGCAAAAGATATTTTCAAAGCAAAAATTTCAAATCATATAATTACACATTGTAAAAAATATTTTCAAAACAATATAAAATCAAAAAATTGCCTTTTAAATAAAATTTATAATAAGAGATTACTTCTAAAACATTGAAGTATAAGAAAATTTCAAAACAACAAACTCAAACCATAAAATTACATGCTGATTAAAATTAATACTCATGTGATTATCTCTCAAATTCTGAAGCAAAAATACTTTTAGAACAACAACCTCTAATTAAAATATTATACATGTGCACAATTTACAGTCAAGTGATTATTCATTAAATTTTGAAGCGAGTCATAAAAAATCGAATTTACTAATGATATAATGATTTGTATTATATATATTCATCTTCTTCAAGCAATCAAAAAATCATGCAGATTTTTTTTTTTTAAATCTTCTAAAAAGTGGAATGATGATCATTTGCAAAACTTATTAAATATTATATAAATTTTAAGCCAATCACTAAATAAACAAGCATTTAAAAAACAATTCACCATTTTTTGGACCACGAACAACGTATTGGTGCTATCTGGTGAATAAATCTGACTTTTTAACTTCCAGTATTCAGTAGATATTTTTTGGCAATCGCATTCAAAATGGCATCCAACAGATTGTTATTCTTAGCATTATGCCTCTGCCTCACACGTGCTGATACGTAAGAAGAGAAGTAATAATGGGCTGTATCACATTGCTGCTTATTCCTACATTTCACTGATCTCCACATGCATTTTATTGTATGTATGTGGGCACTAGTCACAGGATCAAAATTCACAACACATTTTTAGGAAAACAATCCCCTTCCTTACCCTAACAGAGAAAGAGAGAATATTAAAAAGAAAATCAAGGAAAAAGAATTTAAAATTTCATATTTGAGAAAGACTATGCAATAGCTTCAAGAGCTGCGAGGATCAGATATATCGATGATGTTTTTGGCAATGGTGGTATGGGTTTGGTGGGTATTGGATAATCAACAAGCATCAAAACTTCTTTTTTAATTCCCTTGATGCTAAAAACATTGATAATTTTCAACTGAATGCATCATAAATTAAAAAGTACTTTAAATTATTTAAGATCTAATCATTAAGAAATACTTTATTGATTTTGAATGACTCAGTCTGTTAAGCAATATAGTTATATAACATGAAAAATAAATGAAAGGTTTCATCTCATGCCAAATAGCAACATTTTAGGAACCAACTTTATGGCAAGATACACAGAAGGTAAATGACTCAGTGCTGAATGTAACTCAGTTTGCAGCTAAATGAACAAACCAATGTTCCAGAAAATGAATTTTAAAAAGAAGTTTTCAGCATATGATGGAACTACAGAAATTGCCCACCAAGAATAAATACTACTTTGAATAATCATAATCACAGTTTGCTGCGATGCTTTTACTCATATCAGCAGCAGTTCTGAAATTTTACTGTCAAAAGTATTATAGAAATTTTCAATTACTAAAATTTTATACTGAAAAGTAATTTATTCCCAAAGAATGCAAAAATTACAGGATATCAAGCACAAAAAAAAAGGGGGCTCAATAAATGGCTACTTTTCAATTGCAATCATGTTCTTGATTACTGTTTTCTTCTCAGCATACAAAATAAGCAGACTTTTTGTTAGCTTCAAAAGTGCTGTATCTTTTCTATGTTTATAATTTGTAACATTCTTCATGAATTCTAAGATTCACAAAGCAATGAAAATGCTTTCAGAGAGTTAATGGTTCCTTTGAAGCTATATTACAACTGATAGCTGAAATACAGTCCAAAATTAAAATGCTCATTACATAAAATGATTTAATATCCACCAGCCAGCACTGAGAAGCTTACATGTCACTTTTCAAGCACCTGTTGTCAAGGGAGCCACACCATGGCCAATGACAATACACTAACTGCTGATGTTGTACTGATGTTAACCATGATCACAATTTTGGCTCTTGAGCTATTGTGTCTGTGGGGAGTAGCATTTTGCTATCTGACCTTAACAATAAGTAGGCCCCAATGTTGCCATGTCTACATGTCATCTTACTAGAATTAAACTGATGATATAAAATCCCAAAATTTTTCGAATCACCAAAGTTCCTATGATTTCGGATGTCGGACTTTACAAAGTATAGCTTCAAAGAATTAGTTGATATTTCAAATAAGGTAGTATCCATCAGAAATTTAAAAATATATCCAGCTAGAACACCAACATTGTGAGATCCATGGCAATTGGAATAACGGATATGCAGATTAATGTCAAAGTTACTTTGGAGCATATCATAGTTCCTGTATCTATATTATTTACTCAACACCGCAGAGAAGGGAGAAAAAGTCTGTATAAATTACCAGAGCACACTTCAGATTCCCCCTCCCCTTTTTTAATAAAAATTTCAAGAAGCTTGACTTGGGCATCAGTTCGCTTTTACCTCCGTACAAGGAAGTATTGTAATCACGAAAAATTCCAGATATATTTCAATAAAAATATCCATTCTGATCGCTATTGAATGTAATTTAACGATGCTTTTGCGTGACAGCTGTACGTAAGGACAGAATAAAGGAATCTTCCCCCCCAAAAAAATTATAAAACTGATTTAAAATTAATTCTGGAGAGATTTTTTTCATGGCGTCTGTACATACATACGTAGGTATTTCGCATAACTCAAAAATGAGTAGCCCCAGAACAATGAAATTTTGTATATAGGAGTGCTATAACATGTAGACGTGCACCTCGTATTTTGGTTGCAATCGGCCACGTCAAAAATATATAAATATAAGTATATATATATATATATATTATATATTCGCTCTGTTACTCGGCTCAGTGATCTCAGTTTCTTTATTCTTATATGTTTGTAAATTGCACATTTTTTGCTTTAAAAATGATTGAACTATGTTGTTATTATCTTCCAGTTAAGGTTTTTATGCCTTTAGTTAACCTGCATGCAATAATTTTGGAATTATCAACAATTTAAAAGTTTTTTAAGTGCAGCTAAGCCTAATGTTTGTTTAGCATAGCATCCACATTTCTTTACATTTGAAACTTAACAGAATAGTGGATTTGTTACCAAGCTAGAGAAACTAAGCTTCACAATAACAAAGTAATGTCTTTTTACTTCCTTGTACGAAATAAAAAGGAAGAATTGTTATCGCAAAAAGTTTCAGGCAGCATATTTCAACAAAAATTTCATATCAATTTTGACTGCTATTGAATGCAAGTTAACGATGTTTTTGCGTGACATCTGTACGTAAACACAGAATAAAAGACTCTTTTCCTCCAAAAAAGTTATAAAACTGCTTTAAAATGAATTCTGAAGAGAATTTTTCATGGCGTCTGTACAAACGTATGTACATACATATGTGTCTCGCATAGCTCAAAAACGTGTAGCCTCAGAACGTTGAAATTTTGTATACAGGACTGCTATAACATATAGATGTGTACGTCATATTTTGTTTGCAATCGGCTGCACCAAACGTATATATATATATATATATATATATATATTATATGAAAAAGAAAAGTAAAGCGAACTGGTAATGAGACGAAAGACCTATCTGGTCTCAAAACTTTTGCGCATAATGCTGCAAAAATATTTGAAAGATTAGTAATAGGTAGGAACATTGCAGCAACCTTGCTAAAAAGTTACCAGGAGCTGTAAGCTCCACGAAATGTTGTAACATAGTACTACATACACAATAAGAAATTTGCCTGGTGAAACTGGAAAAACTGTATAAGCGCGATAAAATTGCCAAATTTTAATGCTGGAAGACTTGCTATTGCACGAAAAAATTAGTTAATTAATCTGACCGTTGTGTAATGTGAAAAGTTAACTCACATGAAAAAAAGGATGGACGGAAAAAATATATACAAAGTTACAAAGTACAGGAAGTTACAAAAACATGGATTATAAATGTCAATATATCAAATGCTTATACATAAAAAATTAAAATTAAAATTGCCAGTATATAATATGCCAATACATAACAATTGAAATCAAAATTAAAAAAATAATAAAAAGACACAAAAGCATCAAAAACTAGCTACAAAACAATAATTAATAGCGGAAAATGGTATATTAGCCACTCGTACTCTCAGTTGGCTTTTCAAGGGAAAAAAAACTGTTCTACGAAATAGGCTAAATACCATTACGCGTTTCGCCGAAACAGACCATTGAAGCTCTTGTTTAATGCGAAAAACTTTTACAAAATATATTAGTATTTCTGAAAAAATTCCTTTGGAATAAATCCTTTTTAGTAGCTCCACTGCTCTGTCTCTTTTCCCGACGCGCGTCCGCTGAAAAAACACATTAAGGTGTCAAAGGCTATTATGATTCCGAGCGATGAAAAATCAAAATCAAAGTAGAAAAAATAAAATTAAAATAAATAGTGTCTGCTATTAGTCAAAATATACATCAACGTACGGACTGGTCCTTTACCTTAAAGACTTCGTAACTTTTATTAGAAGAAAAGTGCCGTAAACAGATAAAAATGTAATCGACATTGTAAGTAAAACAATGTATTCAATTTAGTAAGTAAAAACGCAGGGTCTTATTAGGACCAAAAAACTTATACAAAAAACGAAAAAACTGACCTGAGAGGTTCCGTCCTCAGCTTCCGAAAAAATTTTGGAAAAGGGCGCAAAATCCCTTCTTGTTCAAACCAACCTTCCTTATTGTACAATGACGTCATCGTGCGAAGCTATTAAAACTGAAGAGGCCAATGGGCTGAGAAAGTTGGCGGGTCCCCCTCTTTTTTACAGAAGGGGGTGACAAATGAGAAAAGACAAGGCAAGAACTCAAAATGGCATCAG